GAAACATTGACAGTTTTGAAGACACATCCCCGAGTAGGGCAGCAGGGGCCCTGGTGCTCACATGGAGAGACCGGTGCAGACTGGAGGGCACACAGCTCATTGCAGGACGGGAGGCAGGTGGATGCAGGGGGTCCGGGGGATGCGAGTGCTAGCAGACGTTTCAACTGCTCTCATTTTCTCAGGGACATAGGAAGCAAGATGAATGTCTTGAGAAGGAAGATGAGGAGGAAGTGCTGGAGGTTTGAGGGCAGGACTGAACTAGGACCAGGGGACCAGGGCTGGTCAGTACCCAGTGCCGTGTGGGCGAGTGGTCCTGCTGGTTCCAGGAGACCACCTGGCCCTACAGCCCTCTCCAGCATGGGTGGCTGCTTGGTGTGGGTCTCCAGTGGACAGAGGGCTAGACTAGACTCAATGAAGGGGGGGGAGGTTCTAAAGGAAAACAAAAGCAGAGGGGGTTGGGAGGTGAGAATGTGTGCAAAAGAGTCAGTGCAAAGCTGGGAAGGGGAAAGGAGGACACAAAGTGGGCGAGGATGGTGTTCAGGTGGGGGGATCAGCGGGTGGCAGGTTCCAGGAAGCCAAGACACTGGGCCCCTCCAGGAGGAGAGAGCTGCAAGACAAGAGAAGGGGCGGTTGGGACGCTGATGGCAAGTGCAGAGGGAGCCTGCAGTGGGCAGGACGCAGGAGGGTGGAAGAAAGGCCCGGAGGAGAGGTGTGGGGTACGGATCCACCAGGAAGTGCTCAGGACAACTCGCCAGCCAGCTGTTTCACCCGTGGAGGGAGAAGTGACATTTCCTTGATTATCAATTGAATTTTTGCCTGTGGAAGTGAGGGACAGGGAAGTAGGGCTAGAGAAAGAAACAGATTGTATCACGCTCATCAGCCTTTTCTTGGTGATGAGGGAACAGTGGTCCTGACCCCCGGCCTCCATCTTCGTTCTGCCTTTATGCCTCTGCCCACAGGACCCCCACGTGGAACACATCTTGTCCCTGGAACTAGACTTCAATGGCTGTCTCCACACACCATCCCACTTTCCAGCTGCTGGGCACCCTCGTGAAGAACAGTAGCTTTCCACTGTGAGGACGGGATTTTAGATGGTACTGGGGGTGGTGAGATGGTGCCGGCGCCAAGCAAAGGAAGGCTCATACGTGCAAAACTCAGGCTCATATGTGCAAAACTCAGGCTCATACGTGCAAAACTCAGGCTCATACGTGCAAAACTCAGATGTGGTACCTGGGCAGAGGCCATAAGCTGCAGTTCAGTTTCTTCACTTTTCCCCTGTTCTCTTCTGCCCACCCCTCCCACGGTGGGAAGCGCCCTGCCCAGCCTGGGGCTGCTCTGCCCTGCTTTTATCCTTCCACAACACCCTCCCCCCTCACCCCTTGTGTATTTCTGGAAAAGTAACCTGAATCACTGGCTTTCCACTTTCCCGAGCATCCCTTGGGGGGATGTCCTGGTGTCCTGGCCACCCCCAGCGAGTCTGATTCACTGATTGAGGAGGGGTCCCCATGTGGGAACTTTGGAGCCCCTCTCCCACTGGATGATTTGGATATGCAGATGAGAATGACAGTCTTAACTGATGTGGCTTTTAAAGGTCCTATCAGGCCTACCTGCTGGCTGTGTGCAGACTCTTCTCTGGGCTCTTCTGAGATGGGGATATTTTTGTCCTGCCTGTCCCCTGAATACTGTCTGATCTACCCACGCCATGCTCTCACATTCCCTCTGCCTGCGGTCTTGACCCTGTGCCTCCCTTTCCCTGAGTCTGCACCCCCAACTGACCATCCTGTTCCTGCCCTCCCAGTGCCCATGGAAGCCTGTTCTTTCTTACCACCAGCTCCTTTTCCTGGGTCCCCACCCGCTCTTGGCCACTCAGCCTCCCTCATGTGTTAATTAACCCAGATGCAGAAGTTACCCCACAGGCATTTATTTATATTATCACAGATGACCCCTGAAAAAAATACTCCTCCTGGCTCTGTCTCCAAAGAATGATACTCAAAAGTACTAAGAATATGACTGGATCAGTCATCAGGGGAAGCTGGTGATGCTTTGATGTATATACTTTTTAAATGTTTAAGAAGCTTAGAATTGGCTGGGCACTGTGGCTCATGCTTGTAATCCTAACATTTTGGGAGGCCAAGGTGGGAGGATCCCCTGAGCTCCGGAGTTTGAAACCAGCCTAAGCAAGAGCAAGACCTTGTCTCTACTTAAAGTAGGAAAAATGAATTGGGACACTGAGGCAGGATGATCAGGAGGAGTTTGAGGTTGCTCTGAGCTACGATGATGCCATTGCACTCTAGCCTGGGACAAGACAGAATGAGACTCTCTCCAGAGAAAGAAAAGTTTAGAATTAATTGCGTCAGGCATGAGATTTCAGATTGCAGAAGTACTCCTAAGAGCAAAGGCCCAGGCCGTGCGGCTCTCTGGAGAGTGCTGGGCACTGCAGGTTACCTTTGCCTGCTCTCAGAGGCAGAACCCAGCACAAAATGAAAATGCAGGGCCCCTTGGTCAAAAATTATGCAGAACTTAAGGTGGTGGCCACAGTGCAGTAAACCAAGGGCAGAGCCCTTCTGAGTGCAAGGCCTGGGTAAAGCCACCCTGCCTGTTGGGCCATACCCAGGAACTGGGCATCAGGATTGTACCCCCTTAAACCAGTGAGTACATCTAGCTTGGCTGCTGAAAGAACAGTATTGTGTAGAATAAAAAACTACGGTGTTCTATGTTTATTTTTTCTTCATTTAAGTGTAGCCCAGAAGCCTCTGTGACCATCTGCCAAGGAAGAGCCTTTCAGAGACAAAGCTCTTGCTGGTCTCCTGTGCCCAGGGGTGGCTGCCAGTGGAAACAGACAGCCACTGGGTTTTCATTTCTTGCTTGTCCAGGGAAGCTGTGGGCGGGCGGGTGCACTCCAAGTCTAGAAGCAAGCAGCTGCCTCTGGGGGGCTTGCTTCTTTGCCGGAGAGACTCAGCTCAAAGCCTCCCTGACCTTGGCTGGTCCCCCCTGAACTCCTCCAAGAATGAAGTAGATAAGGTGAGTGGGTGACCCACTTTGTTTGTGCAGAGTTACTCAGCAGGGAGAGGTGAGGAGGCGCTCTCAACCCACACCCCGGGCCCTCTCAGCAAATGGCCCACAGTGGAAAATGCCCTGTGTGACGTTACTGTTGGTGGCCCAGCGAAAAGCCCAGGGTCAGGCAGCTGCTCCTCCTGCAAACACCGGGAGGGATAAGGTGATCAGCTGGGAGGAGGAACATTCCAGTTTGACAGGGTCAAGAATCACTCCTGAACTGGCAAGGTCGACCATGTACATTTTCAAAAGACATTGGTATAAGCCTTAAAAACAGACTTTTAGACTTCTTATTCTGAGTAATGAAAGATATTTTCTGATGTTTCTTTTTTTTTAAGAGACAGGGTCTTGCTCTGTCACCCAGGCTGAAGTGCACTGGAATCATTACAGCTCGTTGCAGCTTCAAACTCCTGGCTCAAGGGATCCTCCTGCCTCAGCCTCCTGAGTAGCTGGGACTACAGGTGCCTGTCACCACACTTGGATAATGAAAAAATTGTTTTTTAGAGATAGAGTCTTGCTATGTTGTCCAGGCTGGTCTCAAATTCCTGGACTCAAGCAATCCTCTTGCCGGAGCCTCCCAAAATGTTGGGATTACAGATGTAAACCACCTCACCTTGCCAAAAAATGACTTTTTAAAAAACATAAATGGACATAGTCAATTATATTAATATTTATCTAAAAAACTTGAAAACAGAAGAAATATTTATGAGTGATTTTTTATAGCACTGAAGAATCTGTGTTTGTCCCTTTGTATAGATATCTCCACAGCTGCCTTAAGCACTGAGCCCATTGTACAGTTGGGGAAAAAAAGCACAGTCAGCCTAAGAGATTTACAAATCAGATAGAGCCAGATAAGGATGGAGGCTGGCGCTGGCTTCAAGTCTGACTAACTGTGGATAAACTGCTCAGCCTGGCATGACTCAGATCCTTTCCAGAGCCATCTGGAAGATGTTAAGATACTAGATGTAAAGACCTACAGGCCCTCAGGGAAGGACACTGGCAAATGCAAGGTGAGTGTTACTGAACTTCATCGCCCTGCCAGGTAGGTGCATCCAGACGCTGGGGAACCGACCCAGAGACAGAAACTGGGCTGCTGCACCCAGCCTGCCCCATGGTTTGCCGTCAGACCCAGGCCCATGCTGGGAGGCCTCTGGTTTCCCAAGACTTCAAAAGGAACCCAGCGATTACGAGATTGTTGGCTTTGAGAAATGCAGGAATTAAATCTTTTGGTGGAAATGTACAGCTGAAAGCCAGTGCCCTGAGTGGCTCCAGGGTTTCGGGACCCTCTCGGGGCACTAATCCAGCTTCTCTTTCTACTCTACCTGGGGCCCTTCCACCAGGCAGGGGCCCTCCTGCTGTTGGGCTGTGAGGCTTAGGCAGTCAGAGGGTTAACACAGGGCTTTCCCCTCCTCCGTACCATTTTCCACCCTTGTTAAGAAAGATCTGTGACTTTCCTCCCCTTGCCCAGGCTGATGTATGTGTGTTGAGTGCAGGGCCAGGGGGCCTCCCAAGTCTGGAAACTCTGAACACTCTGCCTGGACCACTTTGTAGGAAAAGTGAGAGTGACCACAGACAGAAGTGGCCACTGAGGACGGGCTCTCCAAACCACACGCAGTCTCGAAAACTCAGCATTCAGTCCTCGCTTCCAAAATGAGGCCCAGCAAGTGATGGAGTTCTGCCCAAACACTTGGGGACCGGACTCCTGCCCTTCCTGCCTCACTAGGAGCCTGGCTGCCTTACACCGGCTGCTGAGGGTCCCCTGGGGCTGCCCAGCACCAGCCTGCAGCTGCCACAACCTGCAGGGGCCACAGTGACCCCCTTGCCTGCAGAATGCTCCATTTGTTGGCTGTCCACACCCCTGACCTGCTTGGGTTTTACAGCTTCAAGATAAATGACGGTCAGCTCCAACCCCTGCCCCCACATCCATAACTTTGCCCCAAACTCACGTGCAGAACACCTCCAGTCCCATCTGCGTGGTCAGGTCCCTTGCTAGTCTGGGCGGCTCTGGAGCCTGGCTGGGCACCAACTCACATGTGCCCAGGGGACCCCGCAGAGACACTGTTGCTCTCCTGTCTTCCCTCTTCTACCGACTGGAAGCTTCAAGCTGAGAGGGGGTGAGAGGAAATTGTCTAGACAATTACAGTGCTCTTCACACGGGCCATTCGGATGGAAGGTTCATTTGCTCGTGTAGGAGAAGAGGCGGCTTGGCAGAGGTAGACATTCAAGACCAACCGGAAATGTCATGTCTGCACTTCTGGGAAAGACTACATGGTGCGTCTGCACGTGCTTATCTCTCTGCAATGCCCTCCGGTGACTCTCGGTGGCTGGCAGGGCAAGCCTTGCCCAGCTGGCCTGGCGCTGAAGGCTGGGCACAGTGGGACAGTGCGGGCCCAGGCCTGCTGTTCCCACTCACTTCTCTGTGTCCTTGTTCACAGCTCCCTGGTGAACTGCCCAGTCCCTGTAGATTGTTAAAAACCCCTGGCTCATTCTCTTCTATGCCCTGACCACTTGGCCACTGCAAGTACATCCTCCTCTGAGTCGTTCACCTGGTGGTTGTCCTCACAGCACTTTGGACTTTTGTCATATTGAGCAACTCAGTGTCTGGCCCCAGATGCACACCCACCAGTGAGCTCTGATGAATGGATTTTTTTTTTTTTTTTTTGCTACCACTGCAGTGGTGGGTGGCTGGAAGATGTCTGCTGATGGAATGTGGAGCTGAGTAGGTCGAGGGTCACCATGGGGAACAAGGACAATCTGCTACAAGTTGGAGAGAAGAGACACAGCAAGATGAGAAGCTGGTGCTGATGGAGGAAGGGGCTTTTGTGGGAGGGCTGAGGAGGGGTCTGCTGGAGGTGAGGATAGCACCCAGGGGTGTGACAGCCCCTTCAGGCTGCTCTTGGAATGGCGATCCTGGAATGCAGAAGTGAGCTCGCGACATACATTCCCAGCCCTTCCTAATTGCTCACATCACAGCTGCTTGGGGCCTTGGGCTTTGGGGTGTCTTCCCTGGTGCACATCAATCTGCCGGGCAAAAAGATACAGCAGAGGAATTGTGGTGTGGACCAAGACACCTGGCCCAGTGTCCTTGGCATTGGGATGGTGATGGACAGAAAGGGGGGGCATTTGGTGGCAGTGCCAGGTGTGTAGAGCAGGAGTTGAGAGCATCTGCTAAACAGTATCGAGGGAGGGTTTACCTACAGCCACATCTACATGGCTTTTCTTGTCTCTTCTCCAGAAGTCACGGTCAAGCGAAAACATCTTTGGTTCAGGATCATTCAGAGGTCTGAGTCCTCTTATACTGAGAGGTTCCCCACCTCTGAGTATACTGTTCATGATCTCTGCCAGGAGACTTAAAACCACAATAGAATTTTACCTGACAACACCCTCTAACTCACCTAAAGAATCTACAGAGCTGATTTCTTTCTTTCTTTCTTTCTTTTTAAGGAGCTGATTTTTAACTTGTCTTTATTAAAAAGAAGAAAAAAAAAGAAAGAAAGACTTTACACAGCTGAAATGAAATGGTTAAAGGAATGAACTGACCTGGGGATAGAATAATTGCCTTTGCTGAGCAATGGTATTTTAGGAATATTGGGATATGCTAGGGATATTGGCATACACAATAAAACACACTTGTGTTATTTATAATTCTATACCAGAATCGTTTTTGGAAAAAAAAGTTTTAAAAATAATTTTGCCTTTGGGATGATTTGGCTACAAGTACTACAAAGCTCACAACTGGCTTTGATTCCTTGGCACTAGTGGATTATTGGGAAATCCTGCAAAAAGGAAAATGTAAACTCCAAATTGTTTTTAAAACATTATGGCAGTTTTAACAGTGAGTGAAATGGGCATAATGTTATGTTTTGTAGACATTTCATTAAACCTTTATTAGCCTTGATTTTCTTTGGAACATTCATTCCTGTTCTGGGCTGAAGTCTGAAATCTCCCTGGCCCTGACCCTGGATCCGTATGGAGGAAACAGCTTTTCCTGGGCCAGAGGGCAAAGTCACAGGGATGTTACATAATGGAAATCTAAATATGAAAGTATTGATTTGTTTTTCATTCATCAAATGGTTATTGAGCCCCAGTGTGTGTGAACGTCGGGGCACTTGGTGAGAGAGAGATTTTACCCCTGCCTCTCAGAGTGGGGCAGTCACAGGCACACAAGTGGCCGAGCCAGGGAAAATTAGGGGTGCAGGAAGGCTAGTCTGGGGCTCCAGCCCAAACCTCTCTGCAAGTGGGTGGTGTTCTCTCAATCAGGCCCTCCTCCTGGCTCCTCCCACCTACCATCTAATTTTAAATTCTGTAAATGACTCATAATAGCTATGTCTCTCTCAAGAGGTATGTTGTTTTTTTTTCCCATTTTTTAGATAGTCTTGCTATGTTACACGGGCTAGATGCAGAGGTGTCATTATAGCTCACAACAACCTCCAGCTCCCAGGCTCAAGTGACCCTGCTGCCTCAGCTTCCTGAGTAGCTAGGACTACAGGTGCCTACTTCAACACCTGGCTAAGTTTTCTGTTATTTGTAGAGACAGGGTCTTGCTCTTGCTCAGGCTAGTGTCAAACTCCTGAGCTCAAGCAATCCTCTCGCCTCAGCCTCCCAGAGTACTAGGATTATAGGCATGAGCCACCACACTTGCCCCAGGAGGTATTTTTAAATCTAAGGACCAAAGATTTAAGTGAAGTTTCAAATATCAGTCTGGAGGTAAATGAAGCTGTGAGGGAGGAAGGTCTTGAGCATTTTCCTAACACTCCTAAAATCATTCCTTTGGGTTGGGGCAACAGGTGTCCTTCTGGGCAAGATGGACGCTTGTCAATATTTCAAATTAAGGTGGATAGACAGCCAGATGGATAGAACACCTTTCTTCTGATCTCAACTGTTCTTTGAAGATTGATTTACTTTTTGATTACACAGGGTCAGGCTAGGGAAAGGCACACAGTAGGAAGCTGGGAGACATTTGTTGAATGGACAAATTAATGAAAGGAAGATTATGTATTCAGAGAGGACTGTGGTTTAGGGTTACTGTTTTGGGGCCCTTTTGATTTGAACAACACACACACTGTCAACTTGAGCCTACACTCAGCAGACAGAGTCTTAGGTAACTTGCTGGGGTGAAGGTCATGAGTTGACCTTGTTCAACTCATGAATAGCATATCCTGTCAAAGTCATCAGTCTTTCATGGAAGATCAATCCTTTTAAACATATTACCTATATTTACCAGTTTGATCCTTAAAATAACTTCTCCTAACAGAGACTATGAGAAGTTAAATAACCAAGGCCATAGAGCTATAAATGGGAGAGGCAGAGTTTGAGCCCTTGGCCTTGCTGTCTGGACTTCCATCACTGTGCTCTATCACATCTCCAGCATGAGCTCGAGGCTGCAAGCAATCCTGTCCGCTTACAACAGCCCTCACATCTCAGTGTCAGCTGCTTGCCTTGTCTACCCCACAGCTGTGTCTCTCTCATGTGGGACCAGAGGCCCTGAGGGAGGAGCCCAGGCCAGCACGGACTTTGCATCTCGCAGTCCTTGGGCAAATGTCAAAACTGAAGGGCTGCTGTGAGCACAGATGCACCACTCCCTTTCAGGCCATGGGTCTGTATGAGCAAGGTCTCCCAGGCTGGTCCTTGGAAAGTTCCCATCCTTTTGGACGAGATGAGACCTCATCCCATCTGTCTTTGTCCAGTGAGGTCTAGAGGTCAAATGACGTCCAGAGAGCAAGGCTTAAGTTGCTGCCTTTGAGACCTCATTGGAGCCACACAGTGAAGGCAGGGGTGTTTCTGCTCTGTCCATGGCAACTGGGAGCAGGGATCCTCCATCTTTGGTTGAAAGACAGTGAGCTGGGGGCTTGGTAAGGATGCCACTGTTTGAGCTGATGGATGGAAAGTGCTTGGCTTGGGACCTTGTCCATTGTAGGCATCTCTGAAAGGAGCTTTCATCACTCCTTTGAGGAGAGGGCTGTTCTGGGCACCAGGTTACTAAGGTGCTGGTTTGGGGCTTGGGACTTTTTGAATTCCTGGCATCAATGATGGCATTATCTGGGACAGAGCCGTGTGGTGGAGGAGTCTCCTTCCCTGCCTATTGGTGACTCAGGCAGGACCAGGAGCCATGATGAGGAGCCAGGACCAGGCCAGTCACAATAAATGAAGAAAAGCAAACTCAGAGCCACCCTGACCTTGTACTGGGCCAAGGGGGCAGAGCCAGGGATATACCCCTTGCTGAGATGGGGAGTGTCCATTTCTTCTCTGAGGAGGACTCAGGACTCAAGTGGATGGGGATGGGGGTGTCTAGACCATCCACACTCAGACACAGTCTGCATTTAGAACTGTGGCTCCTGGGCTGTTGTGCCAAGAAGACATTTTCATTAGGAAAAGCCTGTGAAGCTGCCTCATTCATTTATGCATGAATGTCTGTTAGAGCCTGGATTTGAAACCCTGTATTCTTGGGTTTAAACTTGCACTTTCCGACGTAAAGAATGAACTGCAGATCCAGAGTTAGGAGGTGATCACTTTTTCACCAAGTAAACAGCCCTGAAGCTTGGCCAAAGCATCAGTATCCCATGCTATCATAATGAAGCACCACAAACTGGGAGGCTTGGGACAACAGACATTCTCTCACAGTGTTGGAGGCCAGACATCCAAAATCAGTGTCACAGGGCTGTGTTCCCTCTGAGACTCTGGGTAGACTCCCTCACTTCCTCCAAGCTTCCCATGGTGGCCGTGATCCTCAGTGCTCAGGCCGCAGCTGCACCACTCTGGTCTCTGACTCTTTCATCCCATAGTGCTCCCATGTCTCTCTTTCCACACGGCATTCACCCCTCGTAAGGACGCCCAGCACATTAGATCAGGGTCCACCCTAATGACCTCATCTTAACTTGATTACATCTGCTGAGACCCTATTTACAAATAAGGTTATATCCACAGGTACCAGGGGTTAGGATTTCAACATATCTCTTTGGGGGACAGAATTAAACCCAAAACAGTTATACCTGTGGCTCAGAAGTTACTACTGTTTCTGTGATATACAGTAAGACCGTGGTTTTCATTAGGAACAGAAATATTTCATCTGTCACTTGAATAGAGATAAATCAACAGAACAAAAGATGCTGTACTAGTGATTGGACCAGTCAAGTTCATTCCCAAGTACAAAGCAAAGATGACGTCTTCCCCGTCTTCTGTGTTGTTTTGTTTTCTGAAGCTACTCCTTTAACTGCCTCAGAACACCCTCTCATCCTGAGATAAGTGACAAGTGACAATAAAGGGAAACCATGTCACTCTCTGGGAACCACACAGCCTACTATGGAGAAACCATTTCCCATCAAATATGAATTAGGTTATTTGCCCATTTCTTGAAATAATACTTCATAAATAACTTGGGTTATTAGCACCTCATAGGCATCATATTACCAGACTTCCAACTATACTACAAGGCTATAGCAACCAAAACATCATGGTATTAGATACAGACCAATGGAATAGAACAGAAAAATTCAGATATGAAACCATCTGAATATAGGCAACTGATCTTTGACACAGCAGTCAACAATATACACTGGAGAAAAGAATCCTTACACAACAAATGGTTCCAGGAAAATTGAATAGCCACACATGGAGAAATGAAATATGATCCATATATCTTACTACTCACAGAAAGTAATTCAAGATG